TCTTTTAGTTTTGGTAAAAAAGTAGGTTTTAATCAATATTGTCAAAAAGTTTTAAATCCTTCTACTAAAAAAGTGCCAAGAAATACTATAAAACAAATTATTATTTCTTTATATAAAAAAAGGAAAAAAAGAGTTAGAACTTTTATTTTCTGAAATAAAAATTCGTGTTTCAATTTGTCGTGATATTTGGAGTGATCATTGACAAATGCATTCTTATACGGGTATTACATGTCATTGGATTGATGATGATTAAACAATTCAAAAAAGAATTATTGCATTTCATATTTATGATGATAAACATACTGCAAAAAATATTTATAGAATGATTGTTCCAATTTTAGATGAATATAAATTGACAAAAAAAATTTTTTCAATTTCATTTGATAATGCTTCTGCTGACACTAAATCAATTGTTGAACTTAAATCAATTTGTGAATCAAATATCGAAGAAAAATTTTTTTCATATTAGATGTGCATGCCATGTTTTAAATTTATGTGTAAAAGATGGTTTAAAAGTTCTTGAATGTTTTATTTCTCCAATTAGAAAAGTTATTTCATATTTATAGGGATATCCCCAAGTGATGAAAAGTTGGGTTAAATTTTGTAAAGAAAATATAAAAGGACCAAAACATTTTCCAAGGGACATCTCAACTCGTTGGAAGTCAACATATGAATTATTAAATGAGTCTTTTTCATATAAATAAATTATTGTGCATTTTTATTACTAACAATATTGAAGAAATTAATTTCCACAAAATTCGGAGATTTGTGCAAAATTTTAGATATTTTAAAAATTTTTAATTTTAAAAATTTTTAATGAATGCTTAGACATATAAATTTAGTGGGGTTTTAATTATCCTAAATCTCAATTTGTTCTTTTGCCTATTATGCATTTTAATATTATTAGTGCACTCAAAGAATTTGAAAAATGATGATTTATTAACAAAATTATTGTGGACATTTTTATTACTGAACCAAATATTGAAGAAATTAAATTTTCCACAAAAATTCGGAGATTTGTGCCAAAATTTTAGATATTTATAAAATTTTTAATGAGACATTACATAATAAATTTAGTGGGGTTTATTAATCCTACACTCCATTTGTTTTTGCCTATATGCATTAATATTATTAGTGCACTTCAAGAATTTGAAAATGATGATTTATTACAAAATTGTTTTATCAATGAAAAAAATGGTTATTTTATTTTAAAAATATACATCCATTTTTCTTATTGCTTGTGTATTTGATCCTAGATATAAATTGTTGGCTCAAGGGTCAAATTATAATCTCGAAATTTTGATGATTAAAACAAAACAAATAAATTTAAATTTTATTATTTGTGCTAACATTATTTTATGCAGAATTCTTATGGAAAGAAAACGAACAAGGCAAGTCCTACAAAATCCATAGTGTGTGAAGATATTCGAAGAGTATTATCCGAAGACCCTAGTGGCTTAGCATATTTAGAATCCATTGTAGGCATAGAGAGAAAAATTCATCTATAAGCAACATAACTAATCTTTCTCTCATTAAAAATTATTTTTTTGAAAATTCGATCTTCAAAGCTAAATTCTTTTCGTCAAAAAAAAATTTTTATTTTCGGAAAATATTCTTTTAAAATCAAATAATGATTTAATTACCTAAAATTTAAAGAGATTATGTCTCTAATATGATTTGGCAATTAATCGTATGTTTCTCTTTTTTTTGGAAATTATACTTTTGAAAATTTAAAGCTGATTTTTAATTTTAACTTATTCTCTTACCTAAAATGAAGGGCAAGATCTCATTTTTCGCTTTTAGTAAGTAGCTATCTTTTTCAAAAAATAATTTTTCCAAATAAAATGCCTTTCAAAACTCATTTATGTTTAAAAGGAAAGGAAGATCGTCTTTTATTTGTTCTTACAAATGTCTTTTATTTTCTTACCAAAAGGATAAAATAAATTTTTAGTAACTAAGATTTTCGTATCTTCTAAATAAGGAAAGCGAATATTCTGATTTCAAAGATAAATATCCACTTTCTAAAAATGAGAGTCACAAATCTCTCTATTAAAAGGTGTTTTCACGCTTTGAACTAAGGGAAAGAAAGAGTTTTCGTTTTAAGAGTATTCACCCATTGATCACATCCTCTATCTCTCAAAACTTACTCTCTACCCCCATTTTTCTTTTCATCTTTACACTTCACGTTTTTATCTTTAAAGAGAAAAGAATTTTTATAACTACACGGTTCTGTGTTTCTAACGATTTTCGAATTTGAAAAACTTGTTTTTCCTAGTGCTGTATAATTTGCATTTCTGTCTGCTTCTATTGTAGATTCTGTAATCTTTTTATCAGACAGGTTTTTTATTGCATAAACAATTGTGCTAATAGCTTATGATGAGAAGCCTATCAGCAAAAAGGTTAAATCAAGCCGACCTTCTGCCGCTGAGAGAGATTCTAATAGCTCTTGGAATTGAGTTTTCTGCCATGCTCATGCCAAAATAGAAAGCGCGTTGCAGGGTTTACTAGAACCTTTGCGAAATCTAGTTGGATAAAGCGGTATTAGATCTAGGTGTCTTGCATCTATTGCCCTTGTACTGTTGTTTGTCTTCTTACCCTTGAAAGAGATAAACATAGTTGAGCGATTCTCAAGAGCAAGATGAGTCTTGGGGAGTGGATGTAGGCGAGTTAGTGCCGAACCACTATAAATCACTGTATTGATCTTTTTAATTTCTGAAGTTTTACTTGATAATGCTTTACTTACACTTCTGTTTATATTTTAGAAATGCTAAAGTTGTTAATGATTCTGATGTTCTAAAACTAGAATAAGTTTTATCTTCTCTGAATATTAGAACTCAGGATTTCTGATAAGTGAATATACCAAGTTCTAAACAGTTCTTCTATTTTCAGTATGTTTCTAATCAGTTTTCTAAACCTGGTTAAGGCTCTGTGAAGCAGTTTTAATTTCAATAACTGTCTTTCACACAGTCTTATATGATTTTCTAAACTTTATGAGGAAGTTCTAAATATTATAGCTTTCCGACATAAAGAAGTTCTAATATTGAATAAGACATTGTGAAGCAGTTCTAATTAATAGCTGCACTTTGCATAGTCTTTCTATTTTTTTTTTTTTTTCTAACTTAATAGCTTGCACTTTGCCATAGTCTTTCTATTTTTTTTTTTTTAATGAATAGAACATTGCTGATGGAAGTTCTAATCCATAGTCTATTCTCACAAGTTATTTATTTTTCCGCCCCTACTGCACTTAGAATTCTATATTTTGTTTTTAAATCTAAAATTATTTTTTTTTTGAAAACTCAATCCACCCCCCTCTTGGGTTTTGCTGCCATACACATACGTGCGATCCACATAAATTTTTGAAATTTTATCTGAATAATTTCGCTCTTTTATTATGAAATATTAAATCTATGCATATAGAAGAGATAATGTTAATATAAATGTAGTATTGCATAAAGTTAGAAAAAAAATATGCTATAGAATCTATATACTGCAATTTGTTTAATTTTCTAGTTCATCTTGTTGCATAGTCTTTCTATTTTTTTTTTTTTTTATGAATAGAACATTGTGAGGAAGTTCTAATCCATAGTCTATTCTCACAAGTTATTTATTTTTCCGCTGCACTTAGAATTCTATATTTTGTTTTAAATCTAAAATTATTTTTTTTTGAAAACTCAATTCACCCCCCTCTTGGGTTGTGCCATACACATACGGGATCCACATAAATTTGAAATTTTATCTGAATATTTCGCTCTTTATTATGAAATATTAAATCTTGATATAGAAGATAATGTTAATATAAATGTAGTATTGCATAAAGTTAGAAAAAAAATATTATAGAATTATATACTGAATTTGTTTAATTTTCTAGTTCATCTGTTTCTTCTAATTCTTCTCAACTTAATTCCCAATCATCCCTAACTGAAAAGGTAAGTGTTGATGTTGCTGAACGTATATTACTACAAAGACAAAAAAGCCCTAGGGGATCCGGTTCTTTTCCTGAACTTAATAATTATATTCTTTCGAGTTTGGTGATAATTTTACAGATAATAATTTTCTAATTCTAAATTGGTGGAGTCATCACACCAGTACATTCCCAACTCTTTCACTAATTGCAAAATAAGTTTTAGCAGCTCCGGTCTCCGCTGTTGCGGTCGAACAAGCTTTTAGTCAAGAAAGAAACATACTTGACAAAATACGATCTAGTATGACACCCAATTCACTAGAAGCACAATCATGCGTGGATGACTGGAGCAAGGCCGAACTAAGAGCACAAGAGAATATTAAAGAAAATGAAGATTTATATGATCTTTATGATGGGTCCTCAATGGGAATATCAATCGGTGGTGGAAATAGCAACTAAGGTAAAAGGTGTGAAATTGATAAAAGGCGTAAAATTGGTATAAGGTGTGAAATTGGTATAAGGTAAATAGGAACTACGTGGGTTTGATTCCTCAAAACCCCAAGAGGATACATACGCAACTTAATTTTTGAAAAAAAAAAGTTTCAACTTTTTTGAACAAAAAATAAATTAAGTTAAAGATTTAAAAAAAATTAAATTCAAGTCTATTTTAAAAAAAATTAAGTTCAAGCATTTTTTAATTTTTTAAGGGTATTTTTTTAGAAATTATTCACAAATTTTTAAATTTTAAATTTTGAAGAAAAATGTTCTCTATTTTTTTTATTTTATAATTATGCTATTCGCCGAAAAATCGGTAGGAGAATCGACCGGAACCGTCGGTTTTGAAACCGTTAAGAACCGAAACCGAAATCAAAACCGTAACCGTTGGGTTCCAAATTATAATCGAAACCATCAATGTCTGGATCGATTTCAGTCATAAATTTTTTGAAATTGAAATCATCGATTTCGAAATCGAAACCGGCAGTTCCGGAACCGTGGCTACTCCTACTTCTAGGTTTAGTTTTGGAATAAAATTTAAAATGGACTTCACAATATGTTTTATGTTTACCCTTAAACATTGTAATATATATAAGTCTATTATCGTCCACGTAAAAATAAGTGAGGACAACAAAATTGAAAATACCAGACCAATCCCTACTCGCCAGTCAACCGTGAAAAACAACCAAAAGAGAATCGAAAAACTACCCTCTAGATTTGTCCCTGTAATTTTTATGCAGTTCTCCTCTTTCTTCGTTTAATATACATACACAGATCTCTCTCTAATTTCTCAGTTGGCCAGAAATGGCGGGAGGAGTGAACAGGAAGATATCTGCGGCTTCGGCCAGAGCCCATACTAGAAGAGCTAAGCAAAGTAGCTCCCTTAAGCTTCCTTCGGGTCTGTTTTCCCTTTCATATTCTTCATTTTGATTTGTTTTATTTTCTAGTTAGTGATTCAGATTGAAGTAAAGTTGCAATTGAAATAAATTAGGATTCTTGTATTTTCGGATCTTGGTATTTCGATGGGTTTGGTGGGTTTGAAAGTGGAACTGCAATTTTAATTAAAATCAAAGAATTATCATGGCTTACTGCAGATAGATTTCTTTGCTTCTACTCATATTCTATCAATTATAATCAAACAATTCTAGTTGAAGCTGCTACTCTTACTTACACAAGTAATTGACTCTTGATTTGTGGTAATAGATTTGGTTTTCATGAATAAAGAAATCAGATGATGTTATAATCTCAATACATTTGTTCCTTTTCTCTGTTATAATGTTAACTGGCTAGATTACGAAATTCATACTTGTGAACATAAGTGAATTTGACCTATTTTCTTAGTAGTTATCACTGCTGGTCATGTTTCTTGCTCTCATTCTTTAGAGTAAATAGCTCAATTCTGTCTCCAACTTAGTTGAATGTGTCAAAATTTCATCTTAATGCTTCAGGGATTTTTTCAAAAATACTACTGGTCTTGTTTGTGGGGATTTTGGCATGGGCTTATCAGGTGATCCAGCCTCCTCCACCCAAGACGTGTGGTTCTCCAGGTGGGCCTCCTATCACAGCACCAAGAATAAAGCTTAGAGATGGTAGGCATTTGGCCTACAAACAACACGGTGTCTCAAAAGATGTGGCCAAATTTAAAATTATCTATGTTCATGGTTTTGATTCTTCCAGGCACGATCCTGTTGTTGCCGCTCACATTTCACCGGTACTAATTGCTTGTTTATCTTGTACCTATTATGCTTTACCTCTTTGATGTCTTTGAGTGTAATGTGGTAGTAATTAGTATTATCTGACTCAATGGTGCTTCCTTTAGGAAATTTTTGAAGAATTAGGGGTCTACATTGTGTCCTTTGATAGACCAGGTTACGGAGAGAGTGATCCTCATCCAGAACGAACATTGAAAAGTTTTGCTCTGGATATTGAAGAACTTGCTGATCAGTTGGGACTAGGATCCAAATTCTATATGATTGGCTTTTCTATGGGCGGAGAGTTGACTTGGAGCTGCCTCAAGTACATTCCTCACAGGTATTATTTAGCCGAGCTTTATAAAGAATGTAATAAAGAGAATTGAAATGAACATCTCCGTATGCTTCTGTGCGTTTGTAAGCATAACTGAAGACAAGAGATGGCCAGTCGTTACTTCTTGTTGTTTACTTTTATGTACCTTCAGTTATGTGATCATTTTTTTTTTTTTCCATCGTAACAGGTTAGCAGGAGTAACACTATTAACTCCAGTCACTAATTATTGGTGGGCTGGTTTTCCTGTGAACTTATCTACAGAAGCCTTCCGCAAACAGTTTCCATCAGACCAGTGGGCACTTCGTGTTGGCCACTATCTTCCTTGGCTAACCTATTGGTGGAATACCCAAAAGTGGTTCCCTGGTTCTAACGTTATGGCTCATAATCCTGATATTCTTGCTCAGCCAGACAAAGAAATTACAGCAAAGCTCATAGCAGATAAGAATTATATGGTAATTTTCTGTTTTTTCTTACAACTCTCGTGTGCTATTATTGTTGTGCCATGTGGAAGACATTCAAGACAATACCATCAAAGGCAAGAAGTTCCAGAAAGTAGTGAAATTCAGTAGTTGCTTAGAAACTTTGGACATTCCTAGTATGCAAGTGGCACCATCTATCCAACAAGCAGCTCATCTGGTCACTCTGTGATTCTAGGGCAAATAAACTGCCCATTTCATTTTCTGATGTCATGTTTTATCAGACACCATGTTGCATATTGAAAAATTCCATGTTCCTTAATCTAATTACTATAACTACTTCATCAATATTATAATTATCCCATCACTCCTGTGATAATCTTCCTAAAAGCCACCATTCTAATGATGAATTCGGAGTTTGGGATTTGGTGATGGAACTTTGAAGACATCAGTGATTATTGTTGTGTTCGTTACCACATTCTATTTGTTGTGAGTGCTTTCTTTCTCATTTTTGTGGAAAATCTAATATATCCAACTTGCACATGCAAGAACTTAGTTGATTTAAGATTTTTGAGAATGGAACATCTAGGAACATAATAGCTACTACCACTCCTCCCCCAACCCCTAGTCCTTCCTTCTACTCCCATTTTTTCTCTTTGGATACAAAGTTTAAATGAGTTGATTGTAAGAATTTCACAACTTCTAGGACCATTAATTGTATTTTGTGAGAAAAATTGGTGGGCGATGGCCAAAGAAGTTGGTATCCATGAGAGCTTCAAGTTTTTTGTCATGGGGGCAGGGGAAGAAATATCTGTTTTGAGCATTTGATATGTAGAACTCTCCCTTTGGCAATGGATACACTCTTGTAATTGCAGTAGTTGTAGTAAATATTCTATAAACTCTCTACTTGTTATTTCCAAATTTTAGGTTCTGATCCTGTAACTTTATTCTTGTGCTTGCTATTATTTTTTAATGTGCAGGCTCTTCGGCCACAAACAAGACAGCAAGGTGAATATGAGTCTGTTGATCGTGACATTATGATTGGATTTGGCACATGGGAATTTGATCCTATGGACCTGGAAAATCCATTTCCAAACAATGAAGGTTCTGTTCATCTATGGCAAGGAGATCAAGATAATCTTGTGCCTGTTACATTGCAACGCTACATTGCTCAACGGCTTCCCTGGATTCACTACCACGAGTTACCAGGTTCTGGCCATCTGTTTCCTTTCAATGATAGGATGGCTGATAAGATTATAAAGACAATGTTAACTGGTGAGCAGTAGCCTTCCACGTTATTATATCAGGTTAGATTTTCGGATGGCTTCTTTCACCTTTGAACTTGAAGATTTGAAGTTTTTTTCCTCATTTTTGTCGTAGAAGATAAATTTTGTACCAATATCTAAATTGATGATGTGGGAATGCTATTACTGTTTTATGATCAGTTTTGAACATTGATTTGCCTACCTGGGAAAGTTGTTTTGAATTAGATTGCATGAGCTGTTAAAAGCATATACTTAGCAATGCCAACCCGCAGTTTGTCTACCGAGTTATCTGTTTTTACAATAGATTTGCATGTGGTGCATTTATAATATTCATATTAACTTGATACTCTTAGCTTTGCTGATCGACCTTCACACACTGTTTAATGAGATGTATTCTATAACTCCAAGAAAAACTACATAGATATTCTATATTCTCCACGATATTACAGGTTTGTTATTGATGTACCCAGTAAAATCAATATTTATATTTTATCAGTATTTTTTTTTTTTTTGTCACATACCAGTATTCTTAGTTAAAGTTTGCGTGGCATTGTTGTTTAATTAATCAGTGGTTGAGGAAAATAATATTAATTAGAGGTTATTAGAGTTTGTGTTTAAAGTAAATTTCACATGTTTTTTAATTACAAAATATTTTAAATTGTTAAAAACTCTCAAACTGCTTTTCCTAATATCTTTATAAAATGCCAAACCAACTGTTAATTGGGTCAAGTATAGAAAGAATCAACCTGAAAATACCAGACTTCAAATTTTACATAAAGTACTACCAAGAAGCACATTAGCATCATATGATGGTCATAATGTCATTTTTAGCACAACCTAGTAGATTGAATGCTCAATATTAAGTAGAACAAAAATGAAGGTTCATCTATGATTAGCCAATGGAGTTATTTATATTTTGGAATATGGATGGGCATGATTTTGTTTCTGATTGTTGTGTTGGCCATTGATGGGCTACTATGAAAAACATATGATTGTTGGTGCCATGTAATGTCCTTACCGGCCTGAACATTGACCTGGCTAAAGAAACGGGTGGATGGGCCATTGATTTAAATAGTGGATTAATGGTTCAATTATAGGTCATAAAAGTATTAATATATATATTTCTTTCAAAAAAAAAAAAAGTATTAATATATATAAAAAATAATTAAAAATATCAAAAAGTTAGTTCGGATAAACCAGGTTTGTGCTAGTCGACTAATTCAACCGCGGATTAATCGATTCAATCTAATTCTCTTTTGACTAATTTAATCACGGATTAATCTATTCAATATAATTTTCTTTTTTAAATGATTTAAAAGCAAAATTCTCTTTTGATTAATTTAATCATGGATTAATCTATTCAATATAATTCTCTTTTTTAAATGATTTAAAAGCAAAATCAACTCGATTTTAAAGTTAGTTCACCGGTTTTCTAAATTGACCCGCCAGGTCGGATCAGGTTTAATAACTATGGTCCTTGCTCATCATTATTGTTTAATTATAAAGTTTACTTTACAGCAATGCACATCCTCTCTGCAGATATATAATCAATGGCGTGCCACTTTATCTTTTTTTTTTTCTTTTTTTTTTTAATAATGGCTATAAACATTTTATTATCCATGGACCATTAGTAATATTTAAGTCGAATTTTGATATTTTAAATAAATATTTTCAAGTTTTTAACTAAATAAATTTTAAAAGAAAGAGGTGTTCCTCTAATATCTTACATTTTAAAAACAAAAACTCTCATTTTTTATTTACTGAGCTAATAAATTGGACGATAGATTAATGCATCAGATATATAGGGAAAGAGAAGGAACATTAATTAAATTATTAAATAATGTGCTATAGAAAAATTATAGAAATTAAATTATTAAATAATTTACTCTAGCAAAATTATGGAAAATAGTACAATTATATATAAGACAAACAAACAACAGTTGATATGTTTACCTACCATTGACCCCAAAAAACGACATGCCATGATATGTATTTTAACACTCACATTAATTTATGCTAGAAGATAACAAAGAAGCATTCTATAATTATAAGATGGACAAAATAACATAATTTCATAATATTGCAAACTGACCAAAATACCCCCTCAACCCCAACCCTCATTTTTCCTGCCTCAACTATACCTTTTTGGGATCAAACCTCCTCTTCATCGTTCCAATTTGCTTAGAACTCAATCCAAAAGCCTTCTCCAAAAGCTCCTCATCAATTCCAGACCCAAAAATGGCAGTTGGGATTTTTTGATTTCCTGGGTTTTGGCTATTGAAGCTTCCAAAAACTGTTGCAGCTTTATCACCCACATTCATTTGGAAATGCACTAACCCTCTGGGGAAAACCATAGCCTCCCCTTTTTCAAGAACCCTAGCATAAACTCTGTTGTTAGAATCAACGAAACCTGAATAAACACTTCCTTGAACTATATAAGTAATTTCTGTTGCCCTAGGATGGAAATGTGGTGGGTTAATGGCACCAGTTTTTAGGTCTGCCCTAACAAAGGACATGCCTAGTGTATTAAGGCCAGGAAAATTTGTTGGGTTCACAGGAATGGTTGCTAGGCCGGTCTCCGAGAACTTTCCGGGGATTTTCATGCCGGAATAGATGAAATCGTCGGTGGTTGCTTCGGAGGAATTTTTGCATGGTAGGATAGTGAAACTAGCAGTTCTTATTGCACCATACGTAGGGTTTGGAATGCAAAAATCTTGAACTGGATCTGGGTCTGAGGCCAATGCCACTAGGCTATGGAGGGAGAAAATAACTAACAAAACCGTCAACTTTTGAGACATTTTGTTGTCACAATTTGTGGCTTGTGCTAGTTATGGATTTGGCTTGCTAGTCTAGATGGCTTTTATAGTAGTGATTAACTAGTGAAAGTACTAAAATGTCCTTATTCAATTAGTGTATTAATTATACACTCATAACAAAACTTTTTATGTATATGAATCTTATATACGCTCCCCACCATAATTATCACAAAGATTCAACTTACGTTTTTTCTTCCTAGATTTGAGGGCATATGTTTTGCAAATTTATAGTATTATTTTAAGTGGTCCTACTTATATATTTTTTTATTGATTTTTAAGTAGTGGGAAAGAGAGGGATTTGAAGCTGAATCTGGTTGTACATGCACTTATTATATATTCGAGACCTCTTTATTATAAAAATTATTATCAATTTAGTGAATGTCATTCAAAGAGGAGGCTACTCTACTATGTAACTCACAATATTATTTTAGTACATTGAATTAGTCATGTATCCAAAAAATAATCACATTTGCCAATGCAATTTGGCACATCATCATGAATTTGTTTTAAAGTGGTGATAATTATAGCATATATAGTAATTTATATGATATATGTTTGAGGTGTGTACAAACTAAACGGCAGTGAGTGGCAGTAACAATTATTGCATTTTGTTTCTTGATGCGGTCAAGGGCACCCCCTAATCCAGGAGGACCATGGCATGGATGATTTGGGAATTTCCCTAAAGCTAAATCTATTTGCTTGTTGGTGAAGGGAAATGGAATAATTAATTTGCAATGTTTAAAGAATGATGATTGTTTCCATGTGAAAATAAAATAGCTTTGGGGATGGTTCTCATGCTCTACAAAGATAACACAAAAATCAAAGTAAAAAAAAAAAAAAAAAAATATTAGTAATTTATATGATATATGTTTTGAGTGTGTACAAACTAAACGGCAGTGAGTGGCAGTAAACAATTATTGCAATTTTGTTTTCTTGATGCGGTCAAGGGCACCCCCTAATCCAGGAGGACCATTGGCATGGATTGGATGGGGAATTTCCCTAAAGCTAAATCTAATTTGCTTGTTTTGGTGAAGGGAAATGGAAAATAATTAATTGCAATGTTTAAAGGGCAATGATGCATTGTTTCCATGTGAAAATAAAATAGCTTTGGGGATGGTTCTTCATGCTCTACAAAAAGATTAACAACAAAAAATCAAAGTAAAAAAAAAAAAAAAAAAAAAAAAACAATAGATTGTTGGATGGGCAAAAACCATACTATATCTCCATATCAGCTTTGCTTATAAGATTAATTGCTTTGATATAAATGAATTCAAAATATAAATTTTATTTTTCTAGTAGAATTTATTTATGAATGAATTTTTATATTTAGTATGATTAATTTAAAATATGTAATTCAATTGAATTCCATATAATCATGTATGGAATAAATTCGTAATTGAAAATTCATTTGCTTTTGTTTTCTAAAATATCATTAAAATAGTAATTTCATAAAAAATAAATAATAAAATATCAATTATATTTATGTTATGCTATATCAATTATTTATTTATGTTATGCTATGATAATATCTTTTTATATTTTTATTTAATAATAATATAGTAAATAAAATAATATTAATCAAATTATTTCAATTATTTGCAGATAAAAGATTATTTATTGTACTTGGAAACTCTCTTCCCTCCGTTTAAAAAGAAATACTAAACATGATTAAAATAAAAAGCACAATAATAAGAATATTTTTCAAAAAAACTGAAGCTTTTTTTCAAATTGGTTGGGTCAATTTTTGGCTTAATAATAAATTAAGTGAAAAAAAAACAATATTAATAAAATTATTTCATTTATTTCAGTAATAATTATATATTTAACTTGAATCTCTCTCCTCAATATTAAAAAAAATACTAAAATATTAAAATAAAAAACACAATAATAAGAATATTTTTCAAAAAAACTAAGTTTTTTTAATGGTTTGGGTCAAATTTGGTAAAATAAATAAGTAAAATATTGAAAAATTGACTTTGTAGAAAGAGAACGGTAGTTTTGTCATAAAAGGTGAATATTTTAGTTTTGTGAAATTCATTTGGAAATTTTAAATATTCTATAGAATTTGGTGTAGTTATATTCAATTCCACAGAATTGAATTCCTAAAATTGAAATCTACATAAAAATATAAATTCTTAAATTAATTTCACAAAATTTTACAGAATTTATTTATTTCAAACAAGCGATAAGAGTTAAAAATTTGAAGTTATTAATATTGAGAGAATTTTACTTCAATCCATACCTCGTCAAGAAACAGATACGAATCATGAAAAAAAAAGCCACAAAAATGAGAAAATTCTTTACACAATTAGCTTGCTATCTTTTTTTTTTTTTTTTTTTTTTTTTTGTTTTTTTCAAAATTTTTTTTTTTTTTTTTTTTTCAAATACATATACATATATATTATTATGAGTTGGTATTACTTTTATACAAAATAATCTTACTAATTCATTGTAACTGAATTTATAAATTATTTACTTGATGAGAAATTATACTTGGATCTTTGAATCGTACCGTAATTAATACTTTTGTCTCTTTATTTTTAAGAAATTACTATTATATGGCATTCTTTTTTTGCTTTAAACTAATTATCAGGTCTTTTTATATAAAACGCCAACTACTTAACATTAGTCAGACTTATTTTTTAGACGGATATGTCCATTTTTTCAATGAAAAATGCTTATTGTTTGGATGGAAGGGCCTGATAGCTAGTGAGTTTGTAGAAAAATTAGTAACTATCTCATGGTAATTTTTTAGAAGTTGAGAGATAAAAGTATTCATATGATATAACTTATTTTATTTATAGCTAATTAGCATGGGATTATCATAAAAATTTATATATGTTTGAATAAATAGGCATGATTAAAGTATTATTTGTGGTGCATGGAACTTTTTTTTCTTTATAAAATCAACATATGAAGAGCTACTTTTTACGTTTTAATAACTTTTGGAATCAAGGGAGGCTAAAAACCTAATATCGTTGATTTTGGACAAGGGCCATGCGTAGGAGAACACCTATGATTCTGTATTGTCATCATATCATAATTGTATTGTATTTTCATCAATTTTAACTATTGCTGACGTCGTCATGATGTAATAATAAATACAAGTAATTTTTCCATTTTGGCAGACGTGCACATGGCTGTGTCAAGCTACATGAACAGGATAAGTACGAGATTTAGTTTCCAAAATAAGAGCGACTCTTGGAGGCTTTGAATAGGGAGGCCAAAAAAGAAGCGAACATATCGTCTCGTGATTTTTCAGATGACGATTGGACTTGGCTAGTGTATTAAGTTTCTATATATTTTTTAATTATATTTAATATGAATAATATGTCTTAATTAATTATATTTGTTTTCATGTTGCTTATATCTTTTGCTTTGATCTATATTGTTTAGTTGTTAAATGAATTAACCGAGCTCGAATTAAAGGGAGCTCTAAGGCTCAAGAAGAGCTACAAGAGGCGATAGAACGCCTAGACGCAACACAGCAACATTCATTAAAAATCAAAGAAAAAAATATCAACAGGAGGAGAATCAAGAGGATGGACACCAAGGCCAGGAGAGAAAGCATGAGAAGCCAACCAGTCTGCACATTGATTAGCTTCCCTATAGACAGGACAAGCCTGGAAAACCTAACTCCATTGAAGCAACATTTTAATAGCTCTGACAACAGACCTGTAACTGTTAGCAGGCTGGCTATCCGAACTTAACCAGTCAACGATGGATCCCATATTTGTATGCATATACATTCGCATATATATATATACTTTCTTCATTAAATTTTTCTTTTATTTTCTCCATTCAAACACAAAAATTTAAGTATGTAGATAGGGGTTGATTATTGTCTCGTGTGATAGCCCCTCCTCTTTGTTAACGATTATCTTCAGCTCCAAATTCTATTCTATTCCTTACCTCAATAAATCTGTATTAACGTGAGCTGTCAATGAGCAATTGTAGGATAGAAATATTCTAGTTACCTAATCTGATTGCAAATTATAGCCTAAATTAATGTAATTTGTTTTCTTTCTATATTAGCTTCCTGTATAGACTATATATATAGCTTTCTGCTAATGTTTGTAGATATCAAATTGTGAATACAAATTCTCAAATTCTTCTCTTTATTTTACATGGTATCAGAGCCAATGGCCCTTGTTCCGATATCATCCTCCTCCATGCCTTCTATCACCGTGAATTACTTAAGTCGTCAAAGTTTCTTCGCTCTATTATTTACATGGTATAGAGCAATGGCCCTTGTTCCCGATATCATCCTCCTCTATGGCCTATTCTATCACCTCTTTTTCTTCTTTTTCCATCAAGCTTTACTCAAAGATTACCTCTTCATTCAGGAAAAAACAGTTTTACAGCCCACATTTATCTTAAATTTTTTCAAAAGCTTTAATGGTTTCATTGACGGATCTATCCGCCTCCTATCTCAGACTATACCTACGTCTTCACAGATCCGCGACTCCTATCCCAATCCTGCATATTGAAAAATGGTTTGACAAAGATCAACTCTTTCTCTCATGGCTTTTTTGCCTCTCCTTTTCCGAAGAAGTTTATCATTGAGATTATGGGACTTAGAATACATTCTTATGCTGTATGGCTAGTTCCTAGCTAATGCCTGTGTGGATCGTGTTTCTTGCATAAATCTGTCAAACGTAGCCTACAGCTTCACCTCCATATTTCTCTTCAAGAGCTTAAAAAAGCTGATCTTTCTATCTCTGCTTATCTTCAAAAGGCGAAGTCCCTTGCTGATGAACTTCAGGCAGCAGGACATCCAATATCCACTGCTAAATTTAATGCTATAAAATATAGAAATATTGGGTATGAATATCACTCTATAATTACTTCTCTTAATTTGAAACCTGAACCTGTGTCATTCTATGAACTTCATAGTCACCTTGTTGCCCATGAACTTCTTTTAAATAATTCTCATGAGCCTGTTGCCAATCTTACTCTCAGAACCCAAACACCTCTTCTCCCAACTCCTCATTCTCAGCATCAATCTCG